TTACTTACTACCCAAGTGGGTGACAGAGGAAATCGCACACCTAAGCACTCCCTCAGGCACCTTTGAAGACATGATGGATCTGTTATCTTTCGTAGTTAAATATGAATTACTAAAATAAGAATGAAGAATAGGTGTTAGTATTAGTAATCGCCAATGTCTACTTTTTAGACATTTAGGTAGAAGTAGGTATTTATTTGGGTTTTTCATTTGGGGGGCCATTTCCTCCCACTTACTTGCTACCCTACATCAACAACGCTACTTTGAGTTGAGTTCATGGGCGTATATGATCAGAAGGTTCTATATTAGTAGAAGAATGTTATCCGGCTGTCCTTTTTTCGTCTTCTGATTTGTACTGCCCTTCCTTTGTGGAAGTCCCTGGCCGGGTCTTCAAGAAAAAAATTCTAAACTCTTGAACTGTCTTATATTCTGATTTGAAAAGTGTTACTGAGCATGACCACCGCGGATTGCAACGGGCTCTGACACAGATTACCAGAAACACATAAACAAGGGCTCAAATATATAAAGAAGTGAAGATGAATACACGTTATCATAAGCTTTGTACTGCTGGATCTCTTCGACCATTGCCACTGTGATTTTTACTTAGGTGAGGTAGGTAGGAGATGAAGGATGTGGTACGTCGTCGCACGTGACAAGCCATGACGGAGGTTTTTTTTCTTCTCTTCCCGAAGGCTTCAACGGTGGTGTTCGGTGAATGTACCTGAGACTCGGCTCATACCTATCCACCACCATACTGCAGCGCCAATTGCTTGGGGTGCACCCATCTAGACCTCTGTACAATATTTGTCGGTTGTATATAGTTTCTCCCCGACTTAGTACTGCGCCCTGCCTTCGCCATTGCAGTCCCAAATGACTGCACCTCGGTTTCTCTGCCTGCGACTTGCTACTTCCCGTCCTCGCGCTCTGCCCAGCAATGGAGCACTAGCCGCCAGCTTGGGCGCTCCTGCGGCAGCTGGAACGCGACGAGTGGCTCCATTTTTCGCATGCAAGCACAAGTACCCTGGCAAAATATTTGTGCAGGGCCTTTGGTGTACAGCTGCGACTCATGCTGCCCCTCCAAAGCCCAATTCAGTTGCCCCTCCATCCTCATCGCCGACACAGTCACAGTCACAGTCACAACCACAGCCCTCCTTATCAACTCTGCTGCATCCGCCCCAGTCGCGTACACTGACGACCTCAACAACCGCCATGGCCGACTCAGCTGCCATCGAGCAGCTCGCCAGCAAAGTCCAGGGACTTTCTCTGGACTCTGTCAAGCAGACATATCCCGGCACCTCCCCCAAAATCAACCCTCTTGACCTGTGGAGGGCCCACATCAGCAATGTTCTTCACGGCATCTCTGGTGTCTCAACGGACATAGTCTATCGCGCCATCCAATGGACCCAGGGCTTAGACAAGGGAGACTTCACCCTCGCAGTCCCTGCCCTCAGAGTCAAGGGCCAGAAGCCTGACGTATTGGCAGCTGAGTGGGGTGCTAAGGTAGAAATAGAATTTTCCCGTCGATACCAACAGCATGTGCGTAACGAAAGACAGACCGCTGACCATTTTATCGTAGTGGCCAGGAGATGACCCCCTGGTATCAAAGCCTGTCATCAACGCCCATTTCATGTCTTTTTTCATTAAGGCTGAGCCACTTCGAAACACCATCCTTCCCATCATCCAGCAGCAAGGCTCTGAATACGGTATGGATGACACTGTAACCTATCATGTAGTTTTGGCTAATTTCGCAAAGGCCGTGCCCGGTCTAATGGTTTGAAGGACCCCAACGACCCAAGCAAGGGTCAAAAGCGAATTGTAAGTGAGATATCCTGAGTCAATTGAAAAATTCGAGTGACTGTGGCCGTCCTTACGGGGCCCGCTGAAAGATTGATACGCTGACATGGTGCCTTCTTGTTGGGAAATAGATCGTTGAATTCTCATCTCCTAATGTGGCCAAGCCTTTCCATGCTGGCCACCTTCGATCCACGATCATTGGTGGTTTCCTTGCCAACCTCCACGAGAGTGCAGGGTGGGATGTTGTTCGAATCAACTGTATGTGCCGCGGGCTCAAGCTTCATAATATTCATTCTTGATTGGTGCCATTTGTCCCACACTCTGGCACAATTGCTCACGCAACACTTGGCTGACCCAACATAGACCTCGGTGATTGGGGCAAGCAGTATGGTCTGCTGGCTCTTGCTTTTAAGATGTATGGAGATGAAGAAGAGCTCAAGAAGGACCCTATCAATCATCTCTTCAAGCTCTATGTCCGAATCAACTCCGAAATGGACGAAGAGAAGAAGGGATTCGAGGCCAAGAAGGCCGAGGGCATCGATGTTACTGAGCTGGAGGCAAACAGCCTGGATGAGCAAGCTCGTGGGTATTTCAAAATGATGGTGAGTTCGATATGTGGCACCCATCCGTTTGGAATCTTCCGTTGGGATACCCCACCAAGATTGCTAACGATCAACAGACTGAGGGAGATGAATCAGCCCTTGCCCAGTGGCGCCGATTCCGTGACTTGAGTATCGTCCGATACAAGGGTATGTTGCCAAGCCTACTGTCATCACGTAGTGATGAAATTTGTGATCTGACTTTGTGATAATTAGAGACATATGGGCGCCTCAACATTCATTTCGACGAGTACAGTGGTATGTACAGTCGCACTATTTTTGTTGTTTGTGGCCTCTATTGACAACGAAAAGGTGAAAGTCAGGTGTCCGAGGCAGCTATGGAGAAGACTGCCAAGATCATGGATGAGCGCAAAATCTCTCACGAAGACCAAGGCGCCGTGTTGATCGACTTCACATCACTTGTCCCAGGCAAGGAGGGCAAGCGACTTGGAAAGACAGTTTTGCGGTATGCCTCTCAAGCCTTAATTTCCTGAACTTAACTTTGGCGATATATTTCGCCGGCTCCTCGATTCATACAGCTATGCTAACCTACTATGCGTAGAAAGAAGGATGGGACTGCTCTTTACCTGACCCGAGATGTCAGCGAGTTGCTTCACCGTGTAAGTGGGCACCAAAGCCTGTTGATGGATAATGGGTAAAACTGACAGAGCCGTTTCAGCGTGACAAATACAACTTTGACAAAATGTTCTACGTCGTTGCTAGTCAGCAAGAACTTCACCTGCGCCAACTCTTCAAGATCACGGAGCTGATGGGTAACGAGGCCACTGCTAAATTGTGCCAGCATATCAGCTTTGGCTTGGTCTTGGGTATGAGCACCCGAAGGGGCACAGTCAAATTGTAAGTTCTACCCATGTCTTTAACCGACACCCCCTTGCCCACTTAACTCTTTGCCATTTCCTTCTCCTGGAGTCAGATTCTCACATGATTCCAGTTTGAACGATATCCTCAGGGATGTCGGCGAGCACATGCACGAGGTGATGAAGAAGAATGAGGAGAAGTATGCTCAGGTGGCAGACCCTGAAGCTACCGCCGACATTCTTGGCATCAGCAGTGTTATGGTTCAAGATTTGACAGGCAAGATTATCAACAACTACACTTTCAACATGGATGCCATGACATCTTTTGAAGGTGATACCGGCCCATACCTTCAATACGCCCACGCTCGCCTTTGCTCGATCTATCGACGAGCTAATATCTCGGACGAGGACTTGGCTAAGGCTGACCTGTCTCTTCTAACGGAGGATCACGCCTCAAATATTGTCCGTCTCCTTGCTCAGTGGCCCGACGTCTTCCAGAATACCCTGAAGACCCTTGAGCCAACCACCGTTCTCACATACCTCTTCCGTATGACCCACGTTGTGAGCAGTAGCTATGATCACCTCAAGGTCGTCGGCAGCGAGCCGGAGCTCATGAAGGCTCGTATGGCACTGTACAACTCTGCCCGGATCGTGCTTAACAATGGCATGCGCCTGCTTGGTCTCACTCCTCTGGAGAGGTTAGTAATCCAACCCCCCGCACTCTTTTGGAATGCATACTGACAGACTGTTATAGGATGTAAAAGGAAAAGAAAAAAGGAAGATTGCTCATTGATTTGATATAGGAATGGATTCTCCCATTCTCAGCCCACCTAGGCTGGGCACAATACACAAACAATTAGAAAAGTAAATAAATGAGCCCAGTGGATCAGGAGGATTGCCGTAGCCAATTTCCCGCAGTGCTCGTTTGCCCATCATTGGGTTTGTCTGCACCCGTGACTGTGTACTTGGGCCCATGTGTAAAACAACCAACAAAATTCTCACCTGCATCAGCTTGTTCAATCACGACAGGGAAAACTTCTTAATGATGCATCTCACGAGCAGGCAATAAACAAATTCGAGACATTTTGTTTTATTATCAAGAAGCTCTTTATATTCACTTTCCCTTGTATTCATAAACTGATCCATCCTGTCTACCTTCCAGGTTTTCCGACAAGCATAAAAAAGGGAGATGCCCGCCCCATGCGACCAATATTCGAGAGAAAAACTTTTCAAGAGGGCATGCATCTCCTCGATCGTTTAAAGTGAGAACCGCCGGACACAACTCGTACAAGAGATGGAACAAGGGGGGGAGGGGAATAGAGGGCAAGCGGGAAAGGGGCGGAATGGGAAGAGGGGGGGAATCATGAACCTTGGATACCGACATATCGTCCGAGTACCCGTATGCGCCAACTTTCTTTGTCGACTCCAAATAACTCCAGGCATGATGAGAGGGCAGGTGAAAAACAAGGAGGCCCCCGGGAAACCTCAAAAGACAAAACAGATGATCCATACGCATTTCCGTAACCTGGGCCGTCGAAACAAAGCCGGCCATGCAAGACTGAAAGGACCAAGACTCCTGGGCTTGTGAAAATGCAACTCGCGAAAAATTAAGAAAATTAAAAGAGACGTTCTCAAATTTCCATTTGAGGGTCGCAAGCACGAGCGACAGGGAAAGGGCATGTTCGATGACTTCTCTCATCAACACCCGCAAATTAAGGCTTGAGAGGAAAAGGAAAAAAAAGTTCCGACGGACCTCTGGTTTTTTGTTCCCCAGCCCAGCGGTTGGCTCATCTTAGCCATGGGCGGCCTGCTCTTGGGTGCCATTGACCACCAGGGCTGCGCCGCTGGACACCTTACGCTTCTTGTACGAATCACCGTCACTGGAAGCCATTACCATCTTCTCCACTCTACCCAACCGATCGAACAAGGACTTAATATGTGCATGGGAACTATTAGGCATCGTGTTGCTAATATGATTCGTTATGGTTCTGACCATTTCCGTTGATCGGAAGTTGTCCTGCCACATCTTGAGGTCGGAGATCTGCATCTCGAAGTCATCAAGACGGCCCCCGTCTTCAGAGGACTTGGTGCGAAATTGATGCTGCGTCAAGTTGAGACCGGAGTTCTGTGCATCAATCTCTTTCCGATGCTCATTGATCTCTTTCCTATGCTCATCGATCTTTTTCTGATGAGAATCGACGCCCTGCCGGAGAGTCTCAAGTTCGTTGACCAATGACTTGTCCTTTAGTGGCAAAAGTTCGATAACCAATTCGTCAATGGATCTCCGATGCTCATCGAATGTGGAATTGTACTTCTTATCGTTCTCTTCCATTCGCTGGCGTTGTTGATCAATAAAGGCACCAAGCTTTGTAGCGATATCTGAAAATTTGACCTTGGACTTCCTGTCATATTCCTTCATCTTGGGTTCTAAGATACCGATAACAGTTGCGTTCAGGTCCGGGTTGTGGCTGTAGTTGTCGCCATTCATACGAGGAGAGAAGCCCCGAGAATTGTTTCCATCATTTGACGCCGCTGGAGTCAGCGACTTGGGTCGAGGATCACGCTTCAGTTGCTCAAAATTGCTGCCGAGCTCATCAATCTTCTTTTCCAAGTTTCGGAGATCCCCTGCAGTGTCTTTATAAAGATCCTGCATGACTTTGTATTTGTTTCGTAGGTCCTCGTTGACTGATGAATCCACGGTAGGGTCCCTTTTTGGCATGAGCGCCTGCGTCGCTAATTGCTGAGCATGGGACCCAACCTCTGCCTCGAGCCTGGTCAGCTGCTGCTGGTTATCTTTGATCTGTGATCCAGCCGTTTCTTGTCGTGCTCTCAACCCGTTAATGAGAGACTCTTGCATTTCGAACTTCTGTTTCGCCCATGATTGGCCATTCTTCTGTTGCGCTCTCAACTCGTCGAAGAGAGTCTCTTGCATTTTGAACTCCTGTGGAACAGTCTCCTGTTGCGTTTCCAACTGGCTAACGCGAGTCTCTTGCATTTCGACCGTCTGTTTCGCCCATGCTTGATCTTTCTCCTGTTGTTTTTCCAACTGGCTAACGCGAGCCTCTTGGATTTTGAGCTCCTCTTTCGCCCATGATTGATCATTCCCCTGTCGCGTTTCCAACTGGCTAACGTCAGTCTTCAACTGGCTAACGTGAGTCTCTTGCATGTCGATCTTCCGTTTCGCCCATGATTGATCTTTCTCCTGTTTTTTTTCTAACTGGCTAACGCGAGTCCCTTGCATTTCGACCGTCTGTTTCGCCCATGCTTGATCTTTCTCCTGTTGTGTTTTCAACTGGCTAACGTCAGTCTTCAACTGGCTAACGTGAGTCTCTTGCATTTCGATCTGTTTTTTCATCCAATTTTTGTTTGAATCCTGCTCAGATTTCAACTCCGTGATTCGACGGCCCTGTGCCTCGACCCACCTCATTTGGGCCTCCGACTGTTGGGAGTGCACTTTGAGTAATTCATGGTGTCCTGGACCTGCCGCATTCTCTCCCCTTTCTCGCTTTGATTCTATCGTGGTTATGCGTTGGTCTTGCTTTTTTGAGGTGTGCCGAAGTTCATCAAGTTCAGGGATTTTTGATTCCATCGTGAATATGCGTTGGTCTTGCTTCTTAGAGGTGTCTCGAAGTTCATCAAGTTCAGGGATTTTAAGTTCCACTTTGAAACGACCAAACTCAGAGGCAAGCTCCGAGTTGGCTTTATTGGATTGATCCAGCTGTTCTGAGACATTGCGGAGCTTCTCCTCTAGCGCTTTATTCTTGGAAGTCTCCTCGTCTAAGCGACGGGCGAGCGTTGACTTTTCCAAGTTTATCGCGTCGATCTTTTCATCCATTTTTTTTGTGAAGGCATCAATCTTGTCGTCCATCTTCTTCGTTATAGAAAACTCTATCGACTTTGGTAATAAATTGAGCCGATTTTCAAGTTGAGTTATGTTTGTCGTCGTTGGCGTAGGTGTAGACGTAGTTGTAGTCGTAGACGCCGACGTTGACGCCGATGTAGATGCGGGCGGAGCGGCAGAAGTAGGTGTAGGAGTAGTTTTCTGGGACCTACTAATTATAGTCATAAGGAGGGCAGGGAAATTCTGGTCATAATCCTCGACTTTGCGTTGAGCTTTCGACCTGGCCTCCTTAGATTGATTGAACGACTGCTTTAACAAGTTGAATTCGGATGAGAACTCTGAGCGAGCCACAGTTTCGATTGATTCACGGCACTTTTTCTCCCGAGCATGAGCATCTTGGAACTCCTTGTAGGCTGCTGTTCGCTCGGATATTAAGTTGAGAATTTGAGTGCTCTCTTTATCCTTGGGCTGGGGTGAGTTCAGCTTGGAAGGTTGTTTTGTAATCGGCGAGGAGGTGACTACTGAATGGCCTGCTTCGTGGTGGGTTAGCGGATGGACATGGGATGATAGCGGGATCTCTCGATGGCTGTACCTTTTTCTGGGACCGTTTGGTCTTTTGGACTCGACGCTGCACTCTGATGTCCGGCGAGGGAAGAAGTAGATACTCGAATACCACCATCTTGACGACGGGATGGTAGAGGACGATCGTCCTTGCCCCTGTTATCACGATCGGAAAACCCTGAATCTTTGCGAATAAAATGTGGTCTCGTGTCGAATCGATCACGGCGTCTGTCATTATCTCTGTCCCTGTCCCTGTCTCTGTCCCAGTCGTGATCTCTATCTCGGTCACGGTCGCGACTCCGTTCCCGATCACGGTCCCTATCGCGGTCCCTATCACGGTCGCGGTCCAAGCGATGGAATTTGTCTCGGAACGAGTTCATGGCGCCTGGAAGGAGACTCGCCCAAGTTTCCCACCAAGAAAGTGGAGGGTCATGTAGGCGGTGCGAATCGTCGACGGGAGGAGGGGTGACCTTGTTTAGCAAACAGCACTACAAGTTACGCAGAGATAAAACAACAGCGCACGAGGCGTTCCTCCTGGATATGGTCTGGTCCTTTTGTTGGAAGCCCAGCTCGGCACTTCAGGTCAAAAGATGTGCGGGGCAGATGTGGTGTTTGGGCACGGCTGCAAAGCGGTGGAGAGAGAAGCTGACAAAATCCGGAAAGAAAGACCGTCAACGCGCGAAGCGGAATATGCAAGCTGCGAAGGTTGCAGGCAAAGTGCCAAGTTTGGGATGGAGGGAGGGAGAGGAGCAACGAGCGATCAGCTGCGTGGAATTCTGCCGCCCAGCACACTCAAACCTGGGTTCAGCAGAAATGAGACGCGGGAGCTGGAGCTGGAATGGCAGCGAATGGGACGGGACAAGAGCGTGATGCTGCCACTAGAAATCGCCTGTGTTTTCGGCGCGAGACTGTTCTCTCACCGGGCATTAACGCGCTCAAATGGGAAAGGCGGTGACCAGGCCGCTAGTGCCGCACATGCAGCTAAACGTTGGCGCTTGGGCTGAGGACTCCAGAGGCTAGACCTGACATCAATAACTACCTACCTACCCGCCTTAGGAGTCAATGCACAATGCATGGATCTCTTTTTGCTATTCATTTCTTATCCATTGCCACTTTTATAGCGTCAGCAGGGGATAGTGCCGTCCACCGTGCGTTTCCTTTCCTACATCCGCCCCCCTGCTGCTCGCCACACCATCCCAAGAGTAAGGTAAGGTTAGGTACTATGTATGTATAGGTAGTTGACCACAATTTGCTTTTGGGAGTATTCAACCAGCTTCTTGTGTCGGGGAACCCTGCAACAAGCGGAAGCAAATGGAATCGAAGCGAACTAATTCGTCCGCCATGTCCTACGTACCACAAGCAATGTTTTCCTGCACAGATATGTGAATTGGGAAAGCCACCAGACCGTTCAGGGCTGCAAGCATCGTCGACGAAACCAACAGCCATCAACCCCCACTGGTTACACAAACGGCAATTCTCGCCTGCTACGCTATTGTTGAGAAACTCCACCTCAATGCCGTTGGTTCAGCTGCAGGGATTTACGAGGGTGCCTTTGAGTCGGTGAATCTGCACATTGGAATAACGACATCTAACCAAGCTTCACGGCGAGCCGCGGATAAGAATAATACCCCAGTTCCTCCCTAGTAATGACCCAACCTATTAACGTGGTGGAAATCAAGACTTTCAAAATTTCTACCAGATAGGTGAAACCGTCAGCTGGAATTGTTCCCACATCTTTTCTTCTTATCTTTCCTTGCGGGGGCTCTTGAATGGTTAGCCTAAGTTGCGCCTGAGAGCCAAAGTCACCTGTGGAATAACCAGGGTTTGCTGCCTGGCTTGTCTGAGATTTCATGGATCAGATGAGCTTACGCAGTGGCAATCCGCCTTGAGCCCATTGTCTAACAAGAGAGGGCCGCTTTTGGGCAACTGATCCATGACCATGATACCCACTTTGGCGTGAGATGTGACAGTCCATGATTAAAGGATTGCCTCCAAAACTCCGGGGAAAAGAAAACATGCCTACGTGCTTTTCAGGTCCGGAACCTGTTGGTGTGTTATCAAGGTCCGTGCTCACAGGCGACCAACAGTCGAAAGCAGCCATGACTTTTGGGGAGTAGCAGATTGCCAGCCCAGCCCGCTCGCTTTGCTGCACTCGCTTTGGGTGAGTAGCTTGTCATCCACGCTGCTCAACACTTGGGTAAGAGCCCAAGATTGGGTTTGGGAAAGCTGGAACACAAAGGAGCCACCAGTCGAGATGCAATCTCTGAATATCATCCAACTAATGATTGGATTGCGAGCGTTTATTTTATCTCGTCGTGGAGGTTCCGAAGGGTTTCACTAGGGTGTAGGTCTGCGTTTGAGATGCATTTCTCTAGCTTACAAGCCAGTGGAAGCATGCTCTAGAATAGCCTCCACAGTACGCAGCCAGGTAGATCCTAGGTAGATGCCCTGATAGCAAGATGGGGTGTTGAACGCACGTGTTGGTAATTGGACAACATCTTAAGATGGGAGGCCCACACGATCTGATTGAGATCCCACATGCTTCTTCTGGGGCCGGCCCATATGCTTCTTTTCATTTTGGGTGTGTACTGAGACACCGGAAACAGCCATGATAGCTTTCTCGGCGGTAGAGGATTCTCCTGGACGTCGCAAGACTCAGTGTTGGACTTTGAGGGGCGGCTCAGAGGTGGCAGCCCCATGACGTCACTGACCCTATCGAATGGCCCTCAGCATCATGTGGTCTCCCTTGAATTTACAACGTTACGCTTCTTCTTCCCCTTACAACAATCTTGCCTCCATTGAGCACCCGACTGTCCTTTTCTGGACACTGTTAGTACAGAGACATGGACGACTTTGGAAGTCGTATCAGTCGCAATGTCGGGGAAAGAGAGGCCCTCTTGGGCAGGCAAACTCATCACAGCCGAGACCATCAGATCAGAGAGGCTCCCTCGATGACCACTCGTCCTACCTTTGGTCAATGGATCAAGCAGTCCTGGGTTGATATAGTTACAATGCTTGTGACCGGTACAGTTGGACAAATGGTAAGTCCAAGCAGCCATGCCGCCAATCGCCACAGCTTTCCATCAGATGGGCCCGATAGAACTAACAATGCGTCCCTAGGCATATCTATTGCCTCCAGTGCCAACCCGCTACTTTGCTGTTACTTCCACAGACAACCAGGTTGTCTTCCCTGAACTCGCCTACCCAGTGCGCAAGGTGATTGTCCCCATCTGGCTCGCCACTTTGCTTGCCGCAGGCATACCCACCGCATGTATCCTAGCTATGCAGATCCGGTACCGGTCCTTCTGGGATGCCAACAATGCCATAACGGGGCTCCTTTATTCTCTCCTTACGGCCGCGGCTTTCCAGGCGCTCCTCAAGTGGCTCATTGGCGGTCTCCGGCCCCATTTCCTTGCCGCCTGTAAGCCGGATATGCGGTTAGTAGCGGCTGCATATGCTGAGAAAATCGAACGTGCCTGGGATCTGGATAGCAACAAGGAGAGTCACCATGGAGACGGATTTGGTAATCTTTACTTCACGAGGGACATTTGCACGGGAACTTCATGGGATGTCTCTGACTCTTTCGAGTCCTTTCCGTCTGGCCACACCACGGCAGCTTTTGCTGGATTTGTCTTCCTGTCCCTTTATTTGAACGGCAAGTTGAAACTATTTGCTGACCATGTAAGTTGAAAACGAGGCATGAACTCTCGTCCACCCATCTCGGAGTCTCTTTGTCCCGTGCCTTGGCTTACTACTTTGAACCAGCATTCTGCTATGTGGAAATTGATTTTGTTCCATCTCCCAATTCTGGGTGCGATCCTTGTTGGTGGAAGTCTCACTATAGACTTCTCTCATAACTGGTACGATGTTATCGCTGGAGCAGTGATCGGTACGACGATGGCAGTATGTTCCTACAGGATGGTATATGCCTCCGTCTGGGACTGGAGGCTCAATCACATCCCCTTGCGCCGAGACAACAACACCAAGGTGGGTGATATTGGGGATATGTTTCTCCCGTACGGCGACCATCAGGGGAGTAAGGCGCTTGATAATGATATCCGTGCTTCCCATGCGGCACCAGAAAATGTCGCAATTGGCAATGGTTTGAATGTCACTCCATGACTCGCGAGTGTCACGACATGATAGGTTCAGCCCTAGTCATGCGACACGGGGGAAATTCAAGCCTTTCGGGCATTTGGAAGCGTAAGCCAGACATCTACATACATACTGCGGCATTGGGACGGGGCAGGGGGAGCCGCCAGAAGCGAAGTGCCCGTGCATGATGCAACATGTAGGTCTACCCATCCGCATATAGCACGCACATTCATGATGAGATGTTGCAGAATGGTCATATCCCCGCTTCTTCCGTTCTCTCCATCTCCACCTTTGGCGCGGCCGTTATCGCCTCCGTCACTGACATTCCACTTACTTTCCTACTACGGTATATTATCTCTGTTGGATGGGGCCTCGGACCCATAAGCTAAATGTAGGGCGCGCCCAGCAAGTTCATCAACATCACCAGGTCGGTTCCACCCTGCCCTTCGGTCGTTGTATTTATATGGCCGTCTTTCCTGGGTGAATCCCTGGATTTTGGAGTCTCTGTAGTATCAGAAACCACCTCTCAGAAAGAATCACATCCATACCTATATAGATATATACCCACACTTGCTTCTATAACACTCATATATAATGGCTTCACTCAACCTCCCAGAGAAATTCGCTGCCATCCCTAGAGAATCCTTTCTCTTTGGCCCTTCTCCAATCCAATCACTACCCCGAATCTCGGCTGCACTCGGAGGTAAAGTAAACGTCTATGCCAAGCGCGAGGACTGCAACTCCGGCCTTGCCTATGGCGGTAACAAAGTACGAAAGTTAGAGTAAGGCAAACCCTCGTCTGCTCCCCACGAGTTCACGCCGTTCTTCCAGAGCTCGGAATTAGTTCTCTGATGCTAACTACATGTACACAGATACCTCGCCTCAGAGGCTCTATCAGAGGGTGCCGACACTCTAGTCTCAATCGGCGGCGTCCAGTCAAACCACACCCGTGCCGTCACGGCCGTGGCAGCCAAGCTCGGTCTCAAGGCGGCCACCCTCCAAGAGCACTGGGTTGACTGGGAAGACCCGGGCTACGAGAAGGTCGGAAACATCCAGCTCTCCCGGCTGATGGGCGGCGCCGTCCACCTCAACACGGAGACGTTCGGCATCGAGCACAAGCAGGCCCTCGCCAAGCTCACAGACGACATCAAGGCCGACGGCCGCAAGCCTTACTACATCCCCGCCGGCGCCTCCGACCACCCCCTGGGCGGGCTGGGGTTCGCCCGGTGGGCGTTCGAGGTGGAGGCGCAGGAGAAGGAGCTGGGCGTCTTCTTCGACACCGTCA